CATGCTTAATAGTTTCAGCACTTCTAATTCTTTTTAATAAGTGTTACAAACTGAAAGCAAGACAGGTAGGTATTAAAAATATATTGGAACATCTTAAAATTACCAGCTCTATCAGTGGAAATAAAATGATGGCAATTAAAAGTAATAAAGGTTATTAAAAGTTAAGGCCTTGAAGGCTAAGAAGTCATGTTAGACTGTCAATTGCTTTCCCCATGGTGGGAAATCAGTTAGAAATTTTTTTAAAAATCTAGTAGTTTAGTTGTGGTCAAAGAAAGAGTCAGTGGGGACGGGGAGGTTTCAGCAACATGCTGGTAGAAAAAAAGAGACTTACATAGTCTGGGAGGGCAGTGAAATGGAAGGCGTGGTAACCTCGCTCACTTAGTTGTCATTTTTGATTTTCAATGACATTTTTTTCATTCTTTCGCCTAGTAAAGATGACAGAAGGTCCTAATTTATTATCTGACGTCTATTCCTGTTACTAGATTTAAGAGCGTTTAGCTGTATACAGTCATATAATCCAAATACAGGCACTTTGACCAAACAAAACAAAACAAACTACAGCACTAATGTTGCATGCATTCAATTACAGATATAACTGTACCCGCGAAGCAGAGATAAGGACCCGGGGAAGGGGTCTGCCCGCACAGCCCCAGCAATTGGGGAAGGGAAGGGTGGTGGAGTGGCCGAGCCCTCAGATTACAGCAGCAGAGAGAAGGGAGCAGGTTACAGCAAACAGCTAAGTCCTTCCTGAAATAATACTAGCTATGGGCTCCAGAAGAAGGCAGAATTAAAGTCCTCAGCATGGACTGCATCAAATGCTGCATCACAAACAGAGCTGGTCAAAATGCACATCACAGGTCATGAGAGAGAGTCTCTCCATTAGACTCCTGCTGCTGCTGAGGTCGGAATTCATTTTACACGATGAGAAAACAGTCACTGGCACTTTATTAACATGATGACCTGGCACATCCCCAGGGCTTGACTGAAGGGGAAATAAAGGTGCAGTGTAAATTTGTTTAGGTAGGTAAACTGCACCATGGCCAGAGCAGATTAGGCAATGCCACAGGGTCTCTGACATTGCCTTCCCCTTCCACTGTTTGGGTGCACGTCAGCATGTGTTGGCCTGGCATGCAGAAGGTGCTCGGAAATACTTGCGAGTAAATAAATGAAGAGACCACATAAATTAAATTCCATGAAGAAAACCACCCAGACGGTAAGGGCCCTTGCTTCTACAGCTGATTTGTACGTTTTAAGGAGCATCAGGGAGTATGGGGAAAAAAAAAAAGATACAAACAGATAAGAGTTTTTATAAGAGGGAAAGGAAGGGATCAAGGGAAAAAGTACAGTACTGGCAAAAACAAACAAACAAACAATTTAATGCCAAACTCATCTCCTGGCATTGCAAATGCTGAGCAGCAGCAAAATATTGGAATTTAGTTCTTCAGGGGTGACTATCGCATCTGTCCATCTGGACTCATACAAATACTTTCCTATTCTTGTGCACAATTTCAAGTAGATTCTTTGATAAGTGTGTGATATTTATTCCATTTATTCTTAAAGAAACTCTATCTGGGGAAGTTTAAAGTTAAAAGGTGTCTGAAATTTAGCTGAATTATTCACAACATGAATGACCAAAATAATGGTTAGTCAGTTCTCACAGGTATATATTCATTGTTTTCTGTTTATTTTGAAAACCAGATCTTCAAAAGACATGTACACTCTAAAAGGTGGTGACAATTATTACTTAAGAAGCAGCAGGATAATCTTAGTTCAATTAAAATGGTTAAAAATTAAAATGCATAAAAATGTTGATGAGTGGCTTTTATCTTTAGGGCTCCCTTCACTGTGAACTAATCTCACTATAGCACTGGTCACGGAGCACAAGGGGAGCACAGAGAGAGAAGAAGGAAGTTCTTTGCATCCGGCTCATCAGTATGCAACTCCTGGGCAATCCCCTCAGGGAAACCAATTAGTAGAGAGCGACATGTTCACTTTTTCAAGGCCAACCTCCTACCCTGAATGAGAACCTACTCATGCCAGTCAACAGGAAGCCAGCAGCTGCTTCTGGAGGGAATCTCTTCCATTTTGCAGGTAACGGTGGATCAAGCCTGCCTTGGGGAGAGGCCCACGCCCGTCTAGATCATCTAATTGTGTTCTCTGCCTGGCATGTACTACATACGGGTGTGTCTGAAGAAATGGAAGAACTTTGTGTGAAATGGCCTTGGCAGTGTTTTGTGAGAGGTTATACTTTAGCATATTGCCTTCTCTGAAGTTATCAGTGATAAGTATGACTTGCAAGCTTATCCATAGCAAGACCCTAAACCAAATTGGTTGCTACTCTGAGCTGCTTCTGCTTAACCTGAGGAGAAGGAAATTCTGACCACGATACTGACAGACCCATTGCAAAAGAACACCTACCAAGCAATATGTGAAATGATTCTCATTTAAAAAAAAACACCACTCTTCAAACGAGTTAAATTGCTCAGCATTAGGGCACAAAAAGCAAGCCCCAGGAAGCACAGGTGTCTGCAAACTCATTTCATGTGCATGTCCCACTGAGCCTTAGGACTGAGCTGCATGGGAAGGGGGACAGCAACCGTGGCTACGTGCTTCTGTTTGGAGGCAACTTCCGTTTTCTTCTAAGGAGAAATGTTTGGCCATGTGTCCCTGCTAAGGAAGGCCTGCAAAAGCCGGCTGACCTAATTTAAAATACGAGCTCTTGCTGAGCTCTCATTGCATGAACCTCTTCCAAGAATTAGCTATTTTTTGGGGTTTTTTTTTCAGTGCTTATTTCATAAAAAGTCAACCCATCTTTCTCCAGTCCTAGTGACCTGCATTCTCTCCTTCCCCAAAGCATATCACTTCTCCCGCTAGCCTCCGCCTTAATCATTTTTATTTGTGGGACGCTAGGGAGGGAATGGTAATGCTTAGAGTAGGAAAGAAAATAACTCCTTAAAAAAAAATTCTTCTTATTATGATCATGTTTGGATGAAATATGGTGCTTGCCATCAACAAAATTACAAAACAATTCCACTGGGAGTTCAGACCGTTCAGGGTAATTCATCTATGAAAAAGTGAACTTTAATTGTTACTCTTGGCAGCAATCTAAGAGAAGAGTGAAATATTATACTAAATATTGCCACGTGCAATAGTAGAATGCTCTCTCCTCCTTGCCAGAAGGAGTGTACAGCCCCCTTCAGAATCAGGTTTGGATCTGGCGATTTACTCTTAAATCCTGTTTCCCCCTTTCCAAAACCAACAGAGGTTTTCAAAAGAGTTGCGTTTTTTATTAGAACCACTTGCTCTTTCTAAGTTGCCAAAAAGGAATAAGTAAAAACTAAGACTTTTATTTGGGCTAAAGTTGATTCCTCAGCTTCACGGAGGTCAATGTACTTAGTCTGCGAACTTTCTGCTAAGAAGTTCATTGCAGTGGTGAACTAGCCAAGGTTATGTTTTGGTCCCTTCTTCCCCCCGAACCTCCACCCTGCAGCCTCACTGATTCATATAGCAGGAGCTGGGAGCATGGGGAAGCTAATCAAAATGAAACATATATTTGGCAAATGACATTCTGAATTTCTAGAGTAACAGAAGTTTCAAATATTTCTGATGCCACATGTAACAATTGCTATTTTGGGATCAAGTGTTCTGATCTGGGCTTCAAAAAATGTGATCCCAACAGGCACAACTGTTTAGGTTCATTGAACACTGCTATATTATATAGTTTACAAGCATGGAAAGGTATTCAATAATACTCAAAAGCAAAGGGATGTTCTTGTTCAGAAAAAGCAGGGAAGTCTTCAGTGAAGATGTTAATCAGAGAACTATTTTATATGGCGCTGGTTACCGGGTATATTTATAGGTTTTGGCTAAGCATGAGACTATAATAAGCTATTTGCAAATGACTTTTTAAATTACATTTTACATTTCCAGCATGCATATTTGCATACATCAGGTATAATTCATTAAGGACATATTAAAGTCATATGTAAGATATCACATGTAGATAATATTATTCGGCTTTTAAAATCATTAAGTTGGGGAAGTTAGGGCCCTGAAAAATCAAATGACTTGCCCAGGATTATTCAGCATGTAACCAATGATCTGAAGATCAGAAGCTCAATTTTTAAGTAGATATTTTCTATGCTATATGATGTTTTCCATCCTGAGGGATATATAATGACACTAAGATTAGTTGGGAGTAAATTTAAGTCTGCAGATATGACAAAGAGTAATCTTTATTGCAATTTAATTAATGGATAAAAATTTAGGTCATCTGAAACCTGAATAAACATACTAACCTTTAGGATATCTGCTTTATCTAATTATTTTCTTTTTATTATAACATAGGTTATGAATGACAAGAAACAAAATGGCTACCATTAAACAGTTAAAGGGAACTATAATCTCTATCAGTCATGGGAAAAATAGTCAGCACTTATTATATATTATGCACAATTTCATATAGACTGCACATTATAAAGCTTCATAAGAATTTTTAGTTTATACAATGTCTCAGAAGTATTCCTGTTTTTCTCCTCGTGAAAGTTGAAACAAACAAAAGAAAATGTATAGAAAGGATGGCCTAGCAACTAACAGTGCTACACTCAATTGAACAAAATATACCAATTATAATTTAAGTGAAGGCCAGTAACTATAGAAGGTGAGGAATTTTTAAATACATTGTTACAAAAAGCACTCAGATAATCAATGACAGCAAATAAACTAATTAGTAGCCCCATAGGTCAACTATACTTGGAAGTTGGTTATCTTTAAGAATTTGACAGATGATGTGGGAAGCCAAGGAAATCTGCCTTATATGTATTGTTTAATTTTCTTAAAAAAATAATCTGCCTTTTATTTACTAAAAGATCAAGCTCTTTCTGTGTCAGCACAAAATTTAAAGTTTTTTTTTTTGAGGGGTTCTAGTTCCTGCTCTCCATTTAAAATGGGGAAAAAATAAAAATATTTTGCCTGTGACAGAATATGAAAGAAGTTCTCACCCTTAAAACCAGCAGCATTGGTTTTCCAGTCATTAGCGTTCAAATGTCCTGCACGGGAAGTCCTGACAATAACATGCTGCACGTCTCTCCAGGTCAGAAACGGACTGGGGAAAGACAAGGTAAGAATCATTGTACCAAAAAAAAAAAAAAGATGGGGGCAGCAGAGTCACAAGCAAATTTAAAAAGCGAAAGCAAAATGGCAAAGTACTAAAAACAAAGGGTCAGCGATTTGGGTTTGGGATAAACAAATGCCGAATGCCGCTCTTGTTCTCAACATGGAGAAGTGACATTCGTCTGGGGAAGGCAGAAAATCTAACCTTAAATTTAATAAATAATGTGATATTAATTGGTGTAATTTAGTTTTTAAAAGGGTGAGGATTTCCAGTTTCCTCAACAAAATGGCTCCCAATTCTGACCCTATTGTCCTTTGAGTAAAAGCTGGCATCATCGTCGGAAAATTACAATAAGCTAAAGTAAAAACTGAAGGCCTCTGGAACATTCTCTGTTCAGATCTACAGCCAGGGAATTGATTTTGTAATTTAACAAAGAACTTAGCAATGTTTACAGCTCTGCGTGTATGTGTGGGATATAGAAAAATTGTCAACTACAACCAAATCCCCATTTTCAGTCTCTTAAAAGAAGAGAAGATGGTACCGGGTCCAAAGCTGGGCTCCAAGGCACAGACAGCAATGGTAGTATTCTGATTTTGCAGCAAGGAGCTATCATCAGTTATTTGCTACCTATTTCTCATGGCAGTTAGCACTTAAAAGCACAAAGAAACTATCGTATGGAAGATCCTTTCATTGGAGAACTGCAATGCTAAAATACGAACACACAGGACACAAAGCCAAGTACAAAGACACAGACTTCTGTGTTTTTTTCCCAAAAAATATGTAGAGACTGGAAGGTGTCTGACTCAGTGCATGCATGAAATGCTAATCAGGATACCTATTCAATTTAGTCTTGAATGTGACATGTGACAATCTTTTACTTAACTAGGAACTACGACAATTACTGTGAAACTTGCACGGTTACTTTGCTCTTCACCACCTTCCTTTTAGAAGGATATTTGCAAAGGATGGGTCAGAACATTGGGAGGAGGGGAGACAATAACTGACTACCTTCCTTGAGGTGTGACAGGGGCATGTGGTAGTTGCCGTGCCCCATTGTATGTACATGGAGGGACATGGGCATCTCCCAGGCAGCAGGAGACCCTGATACCGTAATTGTAGCTAATTTTCTTTTTATTTATTGAATTTTTCAATTAACAGTTGACATTCAATATTTCATATTAGCTTCAGGTGTACAGTACAGTAGACAATTATATAATTTACCAAGTGATTCCCCACAATAATTCAATTGTAGCTAATTTTCAATGTTTCATTTTACATTACCTTTTCCCCATCACAGTCACCATATACATGTGTTTGTGGGTGGTCTCCTAACAAGAGGGAGCCCAATGATCAGATTCTGGCTCCTTCATTTTCTATGTATGTGAAATTGACTTCTCAAAGTTTCTCCACTTAGAATGTGGATGCTATTATCTACTGTACTTCATCATACTGGTACTGCATCATACCGATCATCATAACAAGTACTTAACCTAGTTCCTGGTGCATAATAGATCAGAAAGAAGTGGTAGAGAGTACAATATTTTGCTAAATTATGAACCACATCTTCTTGAAAATGAAAGAGGCAGGAAGGGAAAAGTACTATAGAGTTCTGATAACTATTGTTTTATGACCTCAGATTAAAAGTTACAGGAAAATTATTACTATCATTTTCAAAGTTTTCAGAGGGGACAAGATTGGATCTAAACTATTCTGTAAGGTTGCATTAACAAAAGAATTTAATATTAAGGAAATTAAAACCCAACCACATGAATTTTTAAAATATGAGAAAGATGCAAACATAATCATTTTTGTTTTAATACAATACTCGTTAGGAACCAATTTACAGCCCAATAAGGCACAGAACTCTGAAGACAGGGAGGGGGAGGGTGTGTTATGGATCCCAGGAAGCAGAGAAGTTCTGCTTCTAAAACAAACAGCATGATTTGGCCCTTTGCCGACTAATACTGAATCTACATAATAATTCAGTAGACTGGATGCACTACTGCAAGGAAAGCCAGGAAATGAGTCAGGGGTAATTCTGAATGTTAGTCCCAACATAAGCTGTTCTGGCTTGGCCTGGGATGTGGTGCCAATCTCCTCTTTCCCAGTGTAGTTATTGGACGAGGGGCAAAAGCAACAACAACAAAAGCTCAGTCTGGAAAAACATTCCAGCCACTTATGCTAAAGCAGGATCTCTGAAAATGTTTTTATTTTATCATGAACAAATGGCGAGATACCTAAAAGGATACTAGGATTTGATAAATATGTCTAAATCAACCTAGTGTTTTAAAAATAACATTTAATATACCGTTGAAACTTCCATATTTTAACTCTTACCCTTTAGGGAGGGAACAAAAGAAGAGAAACAAGTTTCCCTTGTTTCCCTACAAACCAAGACAGGATTCCGCAGAAATATGAAGTACAAGGTTTTGACTCTTGGGAACCTTAGCACTAAAAATATAACAATAGTAACAGAAGAGGGAACATTTATTTTGTACCTTAAGGAGTTATATTCAGGCAGATTCGGGAAGCCGTCTGCATTCAGCTCAGCCTGAAGAAATAAGAGTTACTTGCTCTCATGCTGAGCTGCGAAGGCTAGTTCTTCTTGGAGTGCTTGTAATTAGAGGGAAGAAATTAGCTCCAGGAAATTGGAACTACACAGGGAAGGAACCAAGCATTCAGATAATTCTACTCTGACATTTGATAATGTACAACTTCAGAAGTGACTTAATTTCAAAGATTTCCTGAATTTCACCAAAGAAAGTGAGGAAGATAAAATGAAAAACCCGTGTACTTGAAATCAGTGGTTTTCTTCCTACCCGTGGAGAGTAACTAACGAACTCAGGGAAAGGCCATAAGAAACCTGCTGGTATCCTGAGAGAACTTTTATTTATGGAGAAGTCTGGTTCATGTTTTACAACCTATTTGTATTTACACTCACAGGGATGATGTAGAAGTGAAGAAGTCAAACTACCAGACATCTGGTAAACCACATGCAGCGAGAAAGCAGAGAAGTGCCAGGAACCGTGGAGTTCACGCTGGTAGTGAGGACCCCCCTAAAACTTACCCCTTCTGCCAGATGCCCTGGACCCATATTTCACTGGCCTCTGCAAACCAAGACTCCTTTCACCTCCAAGAAAAGGAACACTGAGCACCAAGAGCTTTGGGGCAAGCAATAACCGAGAGGCTGAAACTCTAACCAACACGGAGAAAAAGAGCAGCTTCTCTCAGCCTTGGGCCTGGTAACCACTGTCCCATCATGTCACAAGCAGTTACACCACACATCTCTCAGGTTTCCTGTTGGAATTACTGACAATTTCCCTTAAATAACAATATACACTAAAAGGGTAACATTTATAAATGCCTGCAAGATATGACCTTCCAAGGAAACAAAATATACACAATTTTCTGAGGAGTCCTGTATATGTAATCTTCTTCTGTTAGGAAGTTTTACATCCTTTAACGACCTTGTAATAATAACCAACATGTAGTAAGCACTTGGCCAGGGCCAGGTACTGCATGCTGTACAAGCATTACTAGTTGTAATCTGAAAAATTGAATGATATAGGCAAAACTTATATTCCCTTTTCATAGACAACAAAACTGAGGCTTTGAGTTACACACAGCAAGTCACGTACACATAGGAAGTAAGCGGCGGTGCTACAATTCAAACAGGCTGTGCTGGGCTGCAGAGTGTGCGCCACCCATTGCTACGTAACACCATCTCCAGATGGACCCACAGAGGCGAAACAGACATACACACGGTGGATTGTCACGTGGTTCTTTGACAATTGGATCAGGAAGCCAGGTATGGGACATCATGTTCTCATGGTCACACAACTTTTGTGCCTGCATGGTCTCTCTCAACTCAGTGGGTTAATTTTTGTTTACTGCAGAGTTCAGGAGATACTTTGAGTCGTAATTTCTCTCTAAGGTTCCAAAAGCCTAACATGAGCACACTCCATCAAAGGTAAGCAGAAAGACATCAAACGAGAAAAAAATCATGTTATTTTAATAGTATAATATTTTATCCTCATACCATATCATGACCTTGTTCCATTATTTCCCAACATCATTGTTATGCACTTGTCACCTTGCCTGACATGCTCACACTTTGATGTGGTTTACAGCCTGGTTAGGTCTAACTCTTCCCCAGTCAGGGGACCTCAACCGAACCACATCCCAAACACTTCTAGTTTCCAGCTGCAAAAACATAAGAAATTGACGACACTCTCACTACCTAGTGTTTGCACTACATTTTTGCTCTGAGCAGTTCATAGTATTTCATGGGCCCAACAGTAGGTTTAGAAGAAGTAGGATGGATCCCAAGAAAGATACTTTGTCTAACACTTCTTGTTGGGATTCTAAGTACCACTGCTAGCACTTAAAAAAAAAAATTCACTCCCCAAGAGTTTCCCCAGATAAGCCTGCACATGTTTGAGTGCTAGAAATAAATCTGTGCTTCGTGGTCCTTAAAAACAAGGACCAATTCTGAATCTTGAGTGACCGATTCATCTGCACTTTTTAAAAAGAAAAACGAACTGACCTTCCCTTCACCACCCATACCCCAAAGTGGATGGATTTATCAACATAAGCATTTAAGAGGCAACTGAGAAAAAGGGCAACACAAACACATCTAGGTACAGAAAGGGAATTTATCAACAAAAGGAGTAACAGCAAATCCTGATAATGAAAACTGTTTCCTAAACTGGGAAATCTTTAAATACAAGAATGACTTCAGCTAATGCGATGATGAGCAATTTCATGGACCAGGCCTTCGGGGGAAACTGCAGGACCAGTCAGCAATCATCCAAACTAAATATTCATCAAAATATCCCAGACAAAACCAGTCTCTTTTTATGTTTCTTAAGATTATGTAAACTAGAAATGGGAACAAGTAGCCAGTATTTGTGGGAACGAAGAATTGGTTTTGAGCTGGAACAACAAAGATGAGCCAGACAGTGTTTAAAGTCTATTGAGACTGGTAAAAA